GGGTTCCTCAAAGCTCAATCTTAGGACCGTTATTGTTTTTAATTTACATCAATGATATGCATAAAGCATCATCTATAGTATCTTCAATAATGTAGGCTGATGATACAACTTTATTTTATAATCATAGTAATTTAAAATCGATGTTCAAAACAATGAATACTGAGCTTGAAAACTTTAATTTATGGTTTAGAGCAAATAAACTATCCTTAAACTGTGAAAAAACTAACTACATCTTATTTCATAAAACAGGTCAATCAATGTCTCTACCGTTAAAAATTCTAGAATTGCTCATTAACAACATAACAATAAAACGGGAAAAATATGCAAAGTTTCTTGGTGTTCATATTGATGAAAATTTATCATGGAGAAATCATATTGGACACATTGAAACAAAAATAAATGCTTCAAATATAAAAATAATATGCTACCAAATTCTTTTTTAGACATATTCTCGTCTTCATTTTCTCAAAGTTATAATCTACGATCAAATAGCTTCCATAACTATTATATTAAAAAAACTAAAACCCGGGGTTCTGAATTTTCAATTATGTCACAGGGTCCTAAAATATGGAAAAACTTGAAAAATCAGAAATTTAAAGACTTAAATGGAATATCGTCAAGCAAAGCTGCATATTCTTAGTTTGTAAAAATTAATTAAATTTTTATATAGACATAGATATACGCCAAACGGCGCTATTAAGGGAAACTGCGAAAAGATTTTTTTTGGAGTTTTGTACCCAAAAATGCTGAAACTTCTTTGATTTCCTTTTTTTAGGTATTAAAGTATAGAAAAAAATAAACATATATATAATAGTTATTATACCAGAATTTATATTAAGTTTGCATCAATACTATATTAATGTATCAAAGTTATATTAATGTATTTTTATCAATCTGATGCGTAATAATTTTATATATATTTTTTCTTTTTATCACGATAATAAATGTATATTTTATAATAATTTTATATATATTTTTTCTTTTTATCACGATAATAAATGTATATTTTATATGGTATACCTGGAGAAGAAAAAATAAATAAATAAAAAATAAATAAAATTATTGAAAAACACGACATCGGATTTCTTATGTTTAGTGAAGAAACAGGAAAAGCAATCATAATTGATCCATTGAGAATTGAAATTATTAAACATGGCTTTAAACATTTCCAAAACATTGAAGGTCCTTTCCTGTTGACTAACAATCGTTCTATGAACAAAACTTAGTTTTTTTTATTAAATAAAAATTAGGAAATAGTCACGGTGAGCAAGTGATGCATTCATTGTTTTTTACTCGACTTCCTAAAAATTTCCCTTTTGTTTTTCTGTCTTTTTTTTCAAAATGCAAAACCAATCTAGTTTGGAATAAAAAAGCGGATTTAATCATTGAAAAGCACCTGAGAGAATGAATGTACATTAAATTATGGGCTAATGTTTGACTCAACTCCAGATTTAGCCCATTGCGAACAAAGGTCTGAGGTAGTTACGTATGTTGAGATCGATTTTTGAGAAAAAACAGTATATATAAAAGAATCTTTCCTTTGCTTTATCCAACTCAGCAATAAGGATGCAGCTAGCTTAACCTAAACAATATTGGAGCAATTAGATTAAGACGATATGAATGTATGAATGTAAAAAATTGCAGATCGCAATGCAATGACAATGCTGCTGTTATGGCTGGCCACAAGAGTGGTGTGCATCAAATAATAAAGAAAAAAAACAACCTTGCCATATTTGTCAATTGTGACAATCATAGTCTTAATTTGGTAGGCGTACATGCGGCTAAAGAAGAAGTAACGATGGTTACTTTTTTGGAACCATCGATGCGCTTTACGTTTTTTTCTCAAGATCAACTCAACGGTGGCAAAAACTTAAAGATGCTGTGCCTATTACTTTGAAGTCTGATTCCGATACCAGATGGAGCGTCAAAACAGAATCAGTAAAAGCTGTACACACCTACATTGATGAAATAGTGGAGGTTTTTCAGAAATTAATAGTAGAAAAAAACGCGTTAAATAAAACAAAAAGCGATGCAAAGCAGCTTTATGATTTTAACGTATGACTTTCTCACATTGCTAGGGTTTTGGAACAAGATTCTTGGCCGAGTTGAGCGTGTTCAAAAGAGGTTGCAGGACCCTAAAATGAACTTTTCTAATGCAGCTTTAGATTTGAAATTGCTCCAAGATTATTTCCAAAGTGTGAGAGAAGTCTTAGTTAATGACTCAATAAATGAAGGAGTTCAAATTTGCATTAAATGGGGTGTTGAATTTGAAAGACGTCAAAGAAGAAAAAAAAGAATGGATGGCGAAATGTCTAGAGATGTTGGGTTAACAGCAAAAGAAGAAATAGAAAGGGTTTTTTTTTCACATTTTCTTCCACATCTAGAAGAAAATTTGGATTTCTTCCAGATGTAGAAGGGTTGTGCTTCAATACGGAAATCAATCACTTTTAAGATCAATGTAAAAAATTTGGCGAAGTCTGCAGTTCTGATGTGGATTGACGAGAACTGTACGAAGAAATTTTGGACTGTAGAATGCTGCTTACTAGCCGTAAGGAAAAAATATCAAGTCTCGAGCAAATACTTATGTTTATAGTTGAATAGGGAGAGGAAAACATTTTACTAATATGCGTATAGCATTGCAAATATTGCTAACAATAGCTGTGTCTGTAGCTAGTTGCGAGAGATCATTCAGTAAACTTAAACTGATTAACTCTTACTTGAGAGCTTCGATGGGCCAAAGCCGTCTCTGTGATCTCGCTTTACTAAGCATAGAGCGAGAATTTACCGAAGAAATTGATTTTGACAATGTTATTAAAAAATTTGCAGCAACTAAAGCTAGAAACATAAATTTGTAATATATGTTACATAAAAAAATTGTTTCTTTTATAATAAAATGAAAGTCTTATTAAAAGTGTGGGGGAGGAGGGGCGTGAAATCGGTGTTTGCCCCAGGCGCTATTTACGCTAGGTACGCCACTGGGATGTTGCACAGTTTATTAGGATGTATGGACTTACAACATTAATTCCAATCGATTTGTAAATATTTAAATTTTCTAGTTTTTTTAACATTGTGGTTTCACAAAAAAGAAGATCTGCGTTATCGTTTACTTGAGTGAAGGATCGGTTCACAAGTTCAGGAAGCTCATTATTTATATAATTTGTGAAGATTGATTGAAAATGTATGTTAATATATTAGCTATTGTCGTTTTGTTGGTGATCAAACTGCTGTTTGTCTTGTATTGAATTGACACTCGAGTTTAATTTTAGTTTCGATTTAACATACGAAAAGAAGTTTTTTGGTTCGTTTTTTATCTTTACTATTTATGACAATTCGAATTACAATTTCTTATTCTTTATATGGTGAGATAATTTTTTTGCATATTTTTTGATATTCTTTTTTTTTTCAATTACGCTGTTTATTGTTGTGTTTAACATCTTAGATACTATTCGAAATTTGTACCATGCGCGATGTTTGTCCTGAACAAGTTTTTTTGTATATGAATCAAACAACTTTGGTCTATATATTTTTGGTGTGTGTATGTATATATATAAACTGATGGCGCACATAATTTCTATTATATATATATAAACTTATGGCGCACATAATTTCTATTTGAGCAAACTTTCCGTCAACAATGAATAGATTTCATACCACATACTCTCTAGAGTAAAGAATAACATTATGTCGAAGAAACTTGCGTACTGAAGAGAATATTGCGTTACGTTCGACCCATGGAGATTATTGCCGAACCATGATAAACAATTTTTTGCTTGATAACATGGATGGACAAGATTTTATTTTAAAAGAATGGCGCTGCGTAGCATACGGCGACTGCAACCATTGACTTATTGAAACAAAAATTTGGCGATTCAAGTAACACACCTGATTAATTAGGCACAAAAAACGTGCGAATTTTTTCTTTAGATTTTACTTTTAAATAATTTTCTGTGGAGCAACGTGAAGTCACTGGTATATGCTGATAAAACAGCAATAATTGACATCTTGCAGGCCAGCATTGTTTGTGTTATTCGCGATATGCAGCCAGCAGTGCCCGAGAAAGTGCCTCAAAATTAGACGTTTTGATAAATAAGAAAAACGAGAAAAATTTTTTTTGTGGTTATTAAGGTACTCCAAGAAGTCCTTGTGGCAAGAGCTGGCATCAAACCTCTTGATTCTAAAACAAGTGTGCTTTAACCAATGCGCCACGACTGCTCATTTTATATTAAGAAAACTTACAAAACTCAACTGTATAATTATATAAAAACCGTTATAACTTGATACTTTTCCTATCATAAAGTTATAATTGTAATAGTGAAAAAAGTAGCTATATTCATTCAAATCTGAGTAAACTTAAGTATATTTGTCAACAAAATTATTATTTACGTTGTTACCTAAAATACAATTGCTAAGATGGTGATGTCATAAGCGTATTTTGGCCAGGTTTAATTAGACATTAGTTTGCCTGCAAAATTTGCAAAAATTTTAATATTTTTGAAACCTAACACTGAACCCATAAAATAATAAAGAAATGAGCATTTAATATTTGTCTTCTGTTTTTTCTATGACTAAATATAAAACTATATACGCATTTATATAAATTTTATTTATACATATATTAATGTATATGTATGTATATATTTATATAAATACTTATGCATATTTATGTGTATACGCAAATTTTAAATCTAATTATTACTTAATAAAGATTGTTATATATATATATATATATATATATATATATATATATATATATATATATATATATATATATATATATATATATATATATATATATATATATATATATATATGTGTATGTGTGTATGTAAGTATGCATATATTATGTATATATAATGTATGTATGTATGTATGTATGTATGTATGTATGTATGTATGTATGTGTATATATATATATTAGGCGTTAATTTTAACACTCACTGAATATTGCTTATAGTTTTTTTGCATCAATTAAGTTCATTGAAGAATTAATTCAAGCATTCTTTGAGTGTTCACCATTATCATTAAAATAAGGAATCATTAACACTATCATCATTACTATGCTTTTGCAAAATAAAACTAAGGTCTGCTTTCCAATTTGCTAAAGGAATTACAAATACAGATATATCATCGTAACTACCATTTTTATTATCTATCGTCCTCCAACCATGTTCGGTAAAAGAACCTCGAGCTTCATCAACAAGACTTTGTGCAGCAACAATATAACGTCTAGGGTCAGATGGTTCCTGATTTGATAACTTGTTTTTGAGAATTTCATTTACGTTTTCTATAGTAAGTTTTTCCCACAATCCATCTGTAGAAATAACAAGCACATCATCTTCATTTAAGTCACTACCGCTAAGCTGAAATACCTTGACATCCGGAGCAGCTAACATGAACGGTTTTATTTTTACGCCAACAGAGTAAGGTACTTCTAAATCATGATCACCGAATCCACGAGTTGTCCCTGAATTAAACTTATACTTTGTGTTATTTGTACTACATATTATATATTAGATTTATAAGTTGTCGTCTCACTTAGACAATATGTATTTCTTAAATACTTTTAAAATAATTTAAATCATATTAATATGTAATTGGTGTTAAACACAAGGGCAACAACCAATAATAAGGGAACAAATAATCAATAATAAGAGAACAATATATTTAATAATAAAAAGATAACAATATATATAAAAAATAATAAAAGAACCATTTTCTAAATGTTCAAAATATACTGTTGGCTTCTTGTAAAGGTAGTATTTTTTTATTTGGCTGCTTTGGATACCTTATTTTGCACAGCAACAAACTATTTTAGGTAATTGCAGACTTTTTATTTGTGCTATATAGAATAAATTCGTAACGTGCATTTATGTATGGTAGGGCTGTTCAGTATGCTAATTTGTTTTCAGAACATAGCTAATTGAAGTTTTTCCCATTCAACTATCATATTGTGGTTCAAAAATATTTTTTTCTAAATTTTATTATTTGCCCTGAGGGTCCCTCAAAGCCCCTAAACATTTGACAGGTCCCTAATATTATTGAAAATAAAATATTTAAAAATATGTCAACTTGGTACTCAAAAGAAGCAAAATCATTTAAAAATTTCAAAAACAAAAAGTATTTTTTATAAAAAAAACAATATTAGGTCTTTTTGAATAAAAACTATGGTTTTTAAACGAAAAATGAAAAAAAGGTAATATTCACAACATTTTTAATAAAAAGTTTTTTTTAAGTTGTTTTTTATAAAAAATGAATCTAATTTTTAAAATTTTTATAAAATTTTGCTTCTTTTGAGTACCAAGTTGACATATTTTTAAATAATTTTTTTTAAATAATATTAGGGACCTGTCAAATGTTTAGTGGCTTTGAGGGACCTTTAGGGCAAATAATAAAATTTAGTAAAAAATATTTTTGAACCACAATATGATAGTTGAATGGGAAAAACTTCAATTAGCTATGTTCTGAAAACAAATTAGCATACTGAACAGCCCTAATGTATGGGCAGTACTGCTATTGGTGTTTTTTATTCGGTAGTCATGGCTACCTAATTTAGCATAACAACAAACCTTTTTGCTAATTGCAGTGTTTCTTTGTGCTATTTATAAATTTTTTATAAATAGAGATTTACAAACTCAACTTAAGTATGGCTTGTCAACATTACATACCTGGATATGGTTTGGTTTTCTATGGATTATATTGATAACGCTTTCTACATTTTGCCTACAAGTTTGAAATTAAGAAATGGAGAGTGTAGGGCTGTTAACGAACGGGCTGTAAAAAAAAAGAATGAATTTAAACGCAAATTAGTTGAAGAACTTGGCTGTTGACATCCATAAAGCCAACAACTCTGGCACTAATAACGATGGCAACAATGCAAGTTGTTTCTTTAGAGAATCTGAAAAAGTACCAAACACAATTGGTTTACCAAAAACTTAAAAAATTATTTTATATACATTATGTTGTAGCCTAGATGTTAATGCTGATAAATTCCATGAGTGTATTTTACAAGTTGCTCGCATGTATGTAAATTTATTTCGATGGTCCTATGTAAATTTGTAAATATGTAAATTTTTAATATGCAAATACGTAAATATGTAAATTTTTATCCATAATCCTATATACATTATGTTGTAGTCTAGATGTTAATGGTGATAAATTCTATGAGTATATTTTACAAGTTGCTCGCATGTATGTAAATTTATTTCCGTGGTAATACATGCCAGCTAGTATTCGTAAATCTTTTTTCAAGGTCATTGAGTCATCAGAAAAATGTCTCTTTCAATGAGCATGCTATTTGAAGATACTCAAGAAGCAACTTTTTTTTTAAATATCGCAAACATTTTATTCATAAAATATCCAGAGTGAAGAATAATGTAGACTTACTCAAATGAATATTATGTTCATTTGATCCAAATATTAGCGGTTTAAGAAAACCAGAATCAAATTCAAATTAAGATTCAAGTTCCACATGAAAAAATTCAACCACTAAAAATTCAACCACTAAAAAATTCAACCACTAAAAAATCATCAAGATTTAGTTATGATAACTAAGTTACAATTTTCAATTAAACAATTATTTTAATTTGAATTATAGTCAATACAATTGCAAAATTAGATATCCATGACAATCTAATTGAAAATAAAACAAAAAACTACTTCATAGGAGGCGCAGACCTTACATTAATATTCATGCCAAATTTAGTTGATATACAAGGCTATCTTAACAACAGACAGTGCAATTGCGCAACTGAACGGAAAGACTTTTTTGGCAACAATAAAAAAACAAAAAATAAATATTTCATATTAATTTTCTACTTAATTAAAAACAAAGGAATTTTTTTCTTTATTTTAATTGCAGCTTCAACTTTTTTTGTGCAGGTGTGTTTGGTGTACTTTTAACTTGTTAACAACAAAAAATTTATATCGCATATCTGAAAAAAAAATTCAGTGAAAAAAAATCTAAAAACTTGATAATAATTATTTCAGCCACAGTCAGTGAAAACAGGTATTAAAAATTGTCGACCTAGTAAATTTTGATATGTCAAAAATGAGCATTTGGTTTATTTCTTACCTAAGTGTAAAACTTATATCAGCATATTAAATCCTTTTGAAATTATGATAAAATAGCTGTTAGAAAATGCGCATTTGACCCTAAGCCACACTAGAATAAAATAGTTTTATGTTTTTTATGTTTTGTAAAAAATTATTTTGGATTTATAAACTAAAGTTTTTTATAAAAAATACTTATATTGTAAGATAGCGTCTGATCGAAAGTTTTTATGAACTGATAAATATAGTTTAGAAGAAAACACAAGTTTATTAGATCTGAACTAACCCCATTTCCACCGTGTTGTATAAGGACTCGAGAGTAAGCAATGGCTCTGTAACTTTATAGCTTTTTAATATTATAGTTTTCAACCATTCTTGGAAATAACTAGGGCACATCTCTAGTTATTTTCAAGAATGGTTGGAAGTTATAATGTTAAAAAACAATAAAGTTACAGAGTCATTGCTTACTCTGTCTACCCAAAAAATCATTATCCTACAGAGTAATGAAGAACTATAAGTAAACCGAGGTAAAAAATACAAATGGTATTTTTGCAAATGTATTTGTAGTACTACTATTTCTGAAAATAAACTTACATTTGTATTTTTAACCTAGATTCACCTATAGTTCTTCATTGCTCTGTAGGATAATTATTTTTTGATTTATTTACACAGCCTGTGTCACATGTCATTAAAAAAAAAGTTTAACTACAGCCAGAAGCGAATTGATCTGAAAGAAAAAAAATCCGGCCGGAATTCCGGTACATCCCTAAAAATAACACAATTTCAATATAAATAACAATATTTACTTGATTGCTATTGCAAATTACAGAAATAATTTTTCCACTGTATTGTTCAATACATTAGCACGGATAGATTCAATTACATTAGCAAAAATACTGTAATAAAAATCAGAACCAAAATTAGACACCAGTACCATACTGACAATAAATGTAGGTGCTGCAAATAAGCATTTAAAAATTACAGAAAGGAAAGTTCTAAAAAGCTTCTCTTGGTCATCCTGAGAATGACCATAGTATTTTCCACTGTGTATGTGACAATGATGAAAATTTGTCTATTACTCTTATTCGGTTCTGTGAAAGTGTTGAAATAAAACACATAACCCACATGAAATGCTGTATATTTTAAATCACTTTTAATTTGAAGAAATATAAAAGAGTATTATGAATATAAAATTAGTCATATAGTTACAACATAAAGTAGAATTAAATAAAAAAATTTTATTTATAAAATTAATAACAGTAATACTGTAATAACAACGATTGTTATTACAGTATTATTAACATTATTATTATTACTATTATTATTATTATTATTATTATTAATATATTTTCATGAAGTAAAGACTTTTTATTTCGTTCTACTTTATGACATCATTAGTCTGTAATCTACTTATGACAATCATTAGTCTGTATCAAATATACAATCATAAAAACTAAAAGGTTAGATAATTTAAATGTTCCTCACTGTGACACCCCAGTTCTTTGAATAAAATCTTTTGGTTGTCATCATTACACTTGTAACTTATAACAGGCAGTAGTTCAGTTTTAACCTTCATTATAATTTCACTGAACTCTAAGTTATCAGCCTCATTAAAACTGTTAATTTTATCCTCTTGAATATTTCTTACTGATAAACCTGTTCGGTTGTTATACTTGGTTTTTCTGGTGCTGTTGGAGTTTAACTAAAATTAATAGTGTGAAATACTGTTGGATGTTCATTTGGTTGTTTCTTACCATTAATCACTATCAAATTAACATTTTCAAACCAATCTTTAGAGCATAACAGTATATTTTGAATCAAGGATATTATCTTTTGGAATTACAATCTTTCGGTAAACAATATATATTTCTTATTCTTTTTGTCATAGATGAGCATGAAAAAACACAACACTTTAGAGGCATAGCACATTCAGCAATTTTTTAAAAAATATCTAAGGCAATTCATTTTCAAATTTTTTGCTAAAAAACTAGCCTTTAGTTTTTCTGTTTGATTACACAATTGTAAATTTGTTTTTGCTTATTGAAGAGATTTTAGTTTTTATAGCCTTTTATAGTTAATTTACCACTGATATTAAATTACATAAATTTTCTGCAAAATTGGCAACTCTGATTTACTGTGCCTTTTATTTTTAACCCCCAAAATTATCCAAGTTGTTTAACTTTATTATAAAAAATAAAATAAATTTTTATAAATATAATAAAAAATATGAAAAAAATTTCTAATATCTCATCTTGAGTCTAATAACTTATTTTACTTATTTAGTAGTAGTTGAATATATTTATATTATTAATAGTAATATTAGTGGCAAAATTACTACATCTGACCAACAACATTTGCAGAGTAGTCCAAGATAATCTCTGTACACTTTTGTCCAAAAATATGTATTTTTTTTAAAATATTAATTTTTTTTTACTCCACAACATCTGTCCAATATCATCTGGAAATTCAATGACTCCTAACATCATCTTTAGGAAGATGTAACTACATCTGGTAATTTTTCTTCTAGTCCAATAACATCTGAAAATTTTCCTCCAGATGTAATTACATCTGAAAAAAATTATATATGAAACTACACCTGATTAAAATAACGCATTATAATTTAATATTTTCATAAAATCCTGTAGCTATTTTTAATATAATTGAGATGTAACTAAATCTGTAGAAATTACAGATGTAGTTGTACAAATGTATTTATTCTTAACATAACTGAAAAGATGTAAGTACATCAATAAAATCTCTAAATGTTGTTATACTTAGATAATTAAAAAGATGCAACTACATCTGTAGTAATCATATACTTTTTACACCAATGTTATTAGACATCAATGAAATTTCAGATGTAGTTGGACAGATGTAGTTATACCTCACTGTTTACATGTTGTTGGACAGATGTTATTAGACAAAAACTGATACCCTGATCCATATTAGTTACAGAAATAAAGGAAAATATAAAATATTTTGAAACCTAAAGTAATTTAATATTTAAAACATTCATTTTTCTGTTTGATTTTGATATTTCAATAATTAGCTATTGTTTTTATAATATGTTATAATAAATTATATAAGTTATCAATTAAAATAATAAATTAAACTTATTATTTTAACTGATTATTATTTATTTACATTCAATACTATATATTACTTTGTTATAGATAATCGCCAAAAGAGATGTTTCAGCAGTCTGGAATATTTCACTTTTTTCCATGAGCATCCAGAAGTTGTTGTGTATTCATCATATGCAATAAAAACTTTAAGATGCACACTCTTCTGCAATTAAATCAAAAACTTAGGAGATTGAAGAAAAAAAAAAAAGAATGAGAAAAAAAAAAGGCTAGACTTTATGTTTTAAGCAAACAAGTTTGCACCAAAAATAAATTCTTAAGACTCCTTAGAAGTGCATATAAAATGGAACTATGATAATACTGACCAAGTTAAAGAAGAATTGATTTAAAAACCATTTCAGCAAAATCATGGTAAAACTGATATTCAAACAGAATTTACAAAATCAAATACTGAACAGGTAAAACTAATAAACTTTAAACTAAACTAAGTTAATTCATTAAAAACATTAAATAAACGTAAAATAAATGTAGTTCGATTTTAAGTTTAGAAAACAAATTTGTAAGCCTGAAAGCTTTAATAAAAAAGATTAAGATGTATAAGTAAAATTTATTTTAAATTTATATGAATTGTATTATATAAATTTATATGAATTGTATTATATAAATTTATATGAACTGTATTATATAAATTTATATGAATTGTATTATAAGTTAAAAAATTTAGATACATTTTTAAGTATACACTAAAATACTTTTATTTGTTTGGTTTCCTTATTCCTTTTACTTATTTAACAGATAACCTGAAAATAAACAAAAACAGTAAAAAAAAAATTCTAGTCCGGATACTCCCCCTGCTTATTTGTTTAGCTGGGGCTGCAAGTTGTAAAAAGCTCCACTTAGACAGACAGCTGATCTTAAATCTCTGATCTCTTCTGTGATAGGTTGGGGCATGCAGTGGCTTGTGAATTTTAACTCAAGCAAAATTTATTTATATACTGCAATCAATTAACACAATATTTTCAATATTCCTATATTTTTGAATAGCAACACTCTCACTGAGTTGTCTACTTTATGCCTACTCATATTATCATTTACTATGGATCTCCTGTGGAAACCATTACAACCTGTTGCAAAGTTAGCATCTATTAAAATTGCTCCCCCTTTTTTTCTGCATGCCATTTCCTTACTCCCAATTCTATTCTCTACCTCTATAAATCGCTTATTCATCCCTGTATGGAACACTGTTGTCATATCTCATTCTTTTGTGGACTATTGTTAAGCAAAGTCTTTTATTATAACTGTCCTATCAAGTTCTAAAAACTTTTACCTAATTTCTTTCCTTGCAAATCAATTTTCTGAACTCACGTTATTCCAATACTTATTATACTTATTTTATATTTATTTACTAAAACTGTAAAATTCTTATTAAGTGAAAAAAAAATTTGAACATTCAAAAGACGAACACTAAAAATCCATGATCTGAACACTAAAAATCCATAATCTGAACATTAAAATTCCATGATCTGCCTGTTTACCTTTACCCCTTCTTCTTTGCTTATAAAAGTAATCAATATAATAATTTAAAAATTTATATTATAATTATACAATATATGACGGTTTTGAAAAATGACCCTTTTTAACAGCATAGAACATATTTGGGTGAGTTTTGGACGTTGCCCAAATTCAGAAGTTAAGAACTTTTATTCTTTTTTATATATTGGCAAATGTTTTTTGAAAGGCATTTTTCTATAAAAAAAAAATTTTTTTTTGTAGAGAAATGCCTTTATACAGCAATGTTTGCATCAATATTTCCTTACAGCATGTATCTGTGTGTGTGTGTGTATATATATATATATATATATATATATATATATATATATATATATATATATATATATATATATATATATATATATATATATATATATATATATATATATATATATATATATATATATATATATATACACAGTGAGAGAACCCAGACGTGTTTTAGTACTGTTTGGCCGTTATGGGCACCCAAAAAAATGCGCCCAAAAATTATTTTTATCTTTTAATTTTTTTTTGAAAAATAGAAAATAAAATTCAGTTTTTAATGCAGTAGTATAGAAATAATTTTCAGTTTATTTTAGCTACCTCATTTTTTCTTCAGAAAAAATGAGGTAGCTAAAAATGAAAAAAACAAAGCGTAAACTTTTTCAGAATGGTTTGTTTCTTTTCGATATCCTTTTTGATTTTTAAATAAAAATTAAGATTTCAACTTAAAATTATTAATTATCAGTTTAAAAAAAAACCCATAAAAAATGAAATTTATTTATGAAATGTAATTTTTCAAAGTTATAGTTAATGATTAAAAATATATATTTTTTAAAATATAATATGCTTTTTAATCAAATAATTATTATAACATAGTATTAAAATTATGTTTAACATAATCTCTTCTTTAAATTAATTATCTTTAAATAAAAAAGCTCTCTCCCATCTTCATGTTTTCCTAACTCATACAACCTTCAACCTCTCAAGTCTTCTGTCAACTGTTTCCTTGCTCTATAACTCTGTTCTTTTTTTTCCTAGTAACTCCCAACTTAATAGTGGTTGCTTGCAGCCTTGTTGGGAGTAAATGCAAATAAAAAAAAAAAAAATGCTTATCAAATTTGTTTATTAAGTGCTTATGTTTTAATTTAAATAAAAGACATTAATATTTGTAAAATTAACTATTTAGTTAATTTTACAAATATTAAGTGATTTAATATATGTAAATATATTATGTAATGTAAATATTGATTAAAAATTATTTTAATAACTTGAACATTTAATTACTAATTATTTATAACATTACAAACTACTAAAATTAAATTTACAAAAATATAGTTGATAATTGTTCAAAATACTTTAAACAATTTTCAATAATTATTTACTGATAGCATGGTATTTGCAACAAAAGCGTTTATTTAAGTCTTAAGTAAAATAGCTTTCCATTTAAATCTAAAGTAACATCATCCAACAGTAAATGTATTAAAAAAAAATGTATTCTAAAAAAATGCCTTTAAATCAACTCCTTATTATAGGATAAAACTAAACAAGATAAACATAAATAATAATTGAAAAATGATTATTAAAAACAATTGTTGTGACACCCTAGGGAAGGAGGAGGAGCAGGGGAGGGGGTCAAAACACTCCCCCCCCCCTTTCAATGTTGGCGGGAAAAAAATCGGTATCCCCAAATAAACTCTGGGTTCTTCACTGATATATATATATATATATATATATATATATATATATATATATATATATATATATATATATATATATATATACATATACATATACATATACATATATATATATACATATACATATATACATATATACATATACATATAAATATGAATATATATATATATATATATATATATATATATAATTATATATATATATATATATATATATATATATATATATATATATATATATATATATATATATATATATGCATATGCATATGCATATGCATATGCGTATGCATATACATATGTATTTATATACATATATACAAATATATTATTATAAAATAATATAAAACAAATTATAACTAAAAAACTGTTTTATATACCTATTGTGTCCAACAATCTTGAGTATTTACCCTCACCACAAATAATTTGCGGCTTAATATCATGTTTATCAATAGTTTTTAAATGCCAACCTTCCATATTATAATCTCTAAATAATTGTTTTGTTCCTATATCTTTTTTATGACATCGATGTTGAAACTGGTACCGTGTATAAATATTACCTAACAAGGAAGGTTTAAGCATTGCAACACTTTGAATTCTGCGACGCTCTGAATCAGGATTGTGATCTGATGACATAGGGATAGGAATTCCATTTTTAAAGATTATTGCACGTGAGTCGCCAGCATTTGCAACATAAAGCTGATCTAACAAACAAAAAAATAAAATACTTTTTTTAAGAAAATGTGTATAAAAGTTAAAATATGCAATTAATGTATGAATGAATGCTTAACAAACTAAATTATTAATACAATTATTTGGAAACAAAAAATGATAATTCCATTTAAAATCATCCAAAAAATGTTTTAAAACATTTGAATAAAACATCAAATACTGTTATTTATTGACTAGTTTAGGACATTTATAGTCATGGGCAAAGAGAGACCCAGGGGGCCTCTGACCCCTCCCTTCTCCCTTTGGATTATTTTATATATATATATATATATATATATATATATATATATATATATATATATATATATATATATATATATATATATATATATATATATATATATATATATATATATATATATATATATATAATACATACAGTAAACTCTCTGTCATTTGAACTGGCACTTATTCAAGTTTCCCGCTTATTCGAAGAAATTTTAATTCCCTGCAAATTTTCCTTAATAAACCTATGCAAATACCCATCAGTTATTGGAACACGCAGTTTTTCAAAATTTCGGTTATTCAATACAATTTTTTACTCCCCTTGATAAAAACTCAGTCAGTTATTCAAAGTTTTTGTTTGTTTGAAAATACCATTCCATTGCATTTCAAACCATAAGGTTACTAAACGTTATCAAAATATTATAAACAAAATAATCTCATTAAAATGTAATTAAAAAATAGACAGAAGACAATGCAAAAAGATGCAAAGAAAAATAGAGCGAAGACAATGCAAAGTAGTGCGGTAGAAGTTTCAACATGGCATCTAAACAAAAGAAAACAGTTCTGACAATCAAAGAAAAATATCTTGCTCTTAAAGATTTAGAAAAAGGACTAACTAAAAAAAATGTTGCAAAAAAGTTCAGTGTTCCTCAAAACACTTTAACTTATTGGATTACTCATAAAAAAGACATAATTAGCAAGTATGAGTCAGGTCAATTTGGAGCAAAGAGACAAAAGTTAAGTTTGGGAAAGCATGATTCCGTTGATAAAGCTGTATATTATAAATGGTTTATGAGCGCACGTGAACGAAATGTACTGAATGGCGGACACATCATTAGAGAAAAAGCTTTAGGTTTTGCAAAAGAACTCAACATTGCAGATTTTAAGGCTTCAGAAGGGTGGCTTGATCGGTGGAAAAATAGACATAATGTTGTTTTTCAAACTATTTCTGGCAAGGAGCGGTCATGTACAGCGGAAAAGACATCAAGTTGGGAGCAAACCCATTTGCCCTACTATCCTCTCATGGTATTAATTGAGAGATGTTTACAACGCTGACAAGTTTGGTTTATTTTATCAACAGCCACCGACAAAAACCTTTCATCTAAAAGGTGAACAATGTGCAGGAGGAAAATTAAGCAAAGTTCGCTTAACAGGCTTAGCAGCAGGAAATGGGGTTGGTGAAAAGCTGCCTATGTTTATAATCGGAAAAGCAGAAAAACCACGATGTTTCAAAGGTGTCAAAAGCCTACCTTGTCAATTTAAGTCCCAAAACAATTCCTGGATGGACTCTAAAATCTTTACTGATTATGTAAGGAGACTTGACAGAAAGTTTAATGCTGAGGGTAGAAAAGTTGCACTAATCATAGATAACTGTTGAAAATCTCAAAGCAATTGAATTAGTATTTTTACCACCAAACACAACGTCCAAAATGCAACCAATGCACCAGGGAGTTATAAGACCATTGAAGACTTTTTATCGCACAAATGTTGTGAGGCGTCAGATAAAATACATCGATGCTGGTAAAACGACCCCATTCATTCATTCTTAAAGCTATGAGCATGTTGGTCAAGTCATGGAATGCTGTATCGACTAATACTGTAATAAATTGTTTTAGAAAAGCAGCATCTCAAAGGAAATTCCCATTGCAAGTGTAAATGGTGAAAAAGATCCTTTCGAATTGCTTGAAGAAAACGTCAAAGAGCTTATATCACGTGGCTTAGTAGAGAAAGATTTTGCTGTTGAAGATTACGTAAACATATTTTGATATTTGTACAAGCAAAGCAATCGCTATCACAGATCAAGAAATTCTGGATTCCATTTTAATCAACGATTGTGCTGAGGTAGACGAGGAGATAGACAAAGATTCGAACAATTTGCCTCCCGTAAAGCCAAAATTATCAGAGGTTGCACGTGCAATAGAGTTAATTGAATGTTGGTCTCTTTTTCCGACAATCGCTAAACCTAGTATCAAAGATGTTTGATAAATATCCTTTAGAGGCAAAAAAGCAATCGAAAATGGACAATTTTTTCGAAAAATTGTAAAAATTTTATTTCTTTATTTTAGATTTTTTTTTTTTTAGAAGGTAAAGACTTAAATGGCATCTTATTCCAAAGCTTTTCTTCTTTTTTACTTTCTACTACTGTTAAAATTTAATAGTAACTTGAAATTGGTCACTTTAAAGAAGATTTTTAATTATTCAAACTTTCGGTTAATCGAATTAAATTCTTGTTCCCCTTGGAGGTTCAAATAACCGGGAGTTTACTGTATATATATATACATAAAATGAATTAATAATAAATAATTATTAAAATTCAGTTTAAAAACATAATTTTTTTTTAGTTTGAGTTTGAGAAACAACTTTTTTTCGTTATTTCAAATCGATAATTACCTTACCGTTAAAATACTTATCTCATATTTCAAAGTAAGCACTCAAAACTGAGATCTTTTTACTAATTTAAAAATCATAAATTTCAAAACAAAAGATATTGAAATGTTTTTTAAAACATTTTAACAACCAATATCTTTATGGTATTATTTAGTAGTTTAAGACTAATATAGTCATTGACATAAGGTGGACAGTTGAATGTATTTAAACCCCCTTTCCTTCTCAGCCTTCCATCCAAGGATTTGAAAAAAAGAAAGACAAATTTTAAATGCAAAATAGGTAAATAAAATAAAAACAAAATTATTTTAAATGTAATTAATTTTTTTTTTTGTAACCAACAGCTTAAATTCTCTAAATCTAAATCAGATATGTTGTGCGTACAACCTGATATTGTTGTGGGTGTAGAAATTAGACATATAACTTAAGATCTGAGCACACAACACTCGTCATTTCTAATTGGCCAAATGAAGTTTTTACCTGGTCCATGATGCATGAATCTGACTTTTATATCAAGATCACTTCCATTTTCAACAATCCCTACCCACCAAAATCCGTCATAAAAACATGCAATATAATCCATTTTTTTAATGTTTAATAAAATCTCTTTATTACATTTGCCTTTTGGAATGATATAAAATATTTCAATACATGTATCAATACATGTTTTTTTATAACTTATAGTGTTTGAAGCAATTGGAATAAAATGATGATACATCCTTGTGCCAGGAACTGTTCTTCCTCCTAAATATCTTTTTTCTAATTGTGCTCATGTTTGGTCGATTTTATCTTTAGAAAATAATTTAAAACAAATTCCATTTATTTTGGCTTTACAAAAGGAGTAAATTAAATTAACATCTAAAATCTGCCTAGTAGTTATTTGTTTCAGACTTTCTTGCAAATACTACTCTTTTAACAGTCCCACCAATACCATCACAAGGGGATTTACCATGACTGGTAGCAAAAAATACCCATTCAGCATTTAAATCAAAGTCTGTGATGACAAAGATTGATAAAGTTTTCAAAATTTTAAAATTGTGCTGTATAACCATCAGAAAAATATTTCACACTTAATACATCAGGTAGATTTTCTTTGATATATCTAGTTATATTCCGGAGTCTTGTAAATAAATCCGGCGTCATGATCAACATCTAAAATCTGATATTGTTACTGTAGCTATGTCAATGTTTACCTTGATCTAGCAATAGGAGTGATCTCCACTGTATTACGAACATTGCTGCAATTAAATTTATAATTATTGTCAGCGAGCATTAAAAATCATTTGAATTAATTTTTTTTTTTTTTCACTTTTAAATCTCAATTTCAAGATTATTGAATAAGAGAATTTTAGAAGACGAAAATTCTTTTGTTTGAGCTTTGCTTCCCAATGATTTGTAGATGCACTAAAAATTATAAATAGCTTGAATTTTTGAGGAAAAAATAAAAGCCATAATTTCTAAAGATGATTGAACTGCATTCACAAAAACCAATTTCAAGGAGTGACAGACACAAGGAATATAAAAGGCTCATGAGTTTATACCTGTTATACGCTTCTGATCACCAAACTTTTAAACTTTCATATATGATTCATTGTCATATTCTTGTTGAATATTCATGACATATAGATTATTTGACTCCAAAAATTTCTTCAGTAAGTCGCAGTAGTTTCACTTTACCCTTCATTAATGTTTTTAATTTCAATTAAGTTTATTTTGCCTTTATTTTGTTTTTCACTTGAACTTTAATTCTTATTTTTCTTTAGATTCTCATATTCAATGTCATTTTCTACGGCTGTTTTTTATTTCCTGATTTTTGAAAGCTTCTGCTTGTTTTGTTTTTTCTCTTTTAAATTTATTTTGCCAAACAGACAAATTTTTGTTTAAATCCATTTTAACTTAAAACAGTATAGATTTATTGTTCCTTTGAACCAGCCGTGAAGCAAAAAGCATTTAAGAAAGAAACAAAATTACCTCTAATGCTTGTTTAATAAAATAACAACTTTTATTTATTATTTTAACTTTTATTTAACATTTTAACTATTATAAAAAAAATTCAAACTTATATAATTCGAAAGTTGTTTTATAATAATTTTAAAATTTGTAAATATATTTAATAATCATTCAAAAGATTGAAAATAAAAATATTGACAAATACTGATTTCCAAAACTATACTTTCAAACATATGCATTTATTACAAAAATTACATGGTTATATAAATAAAAAATATATGTATAATATTCTTTTGTAATTTAAACTATATATATTTATTGTGTCTATTTGAAAAATCATCAAGAAGTAATTTGTTATTTAAAAGCCTTCATACAATATAAAATTTTTATAAAAGATCAACAACTCAAAGCTAAATTACATTATGAATATAACGTTATATCAAAAAAAAATTTTTCCATTACTGAAGTTTAAATTGTAAAAAAATTTAGAAAGCCGTGGTCAAATTAAAAAAATATATATTATTTAATTATAAGCCTGCTATGGAAAAGTAATTCTTAGGATAAGTAAACAGTTATATAATCATAAAGAACAAAACTTTCATAAATGTCTATTAAATGTCTAATTTTTAATTCTGCGCCTGTGTGATTATCACACTTCTTACATGCTATGAGCCAGCCCTGTAAAGAAATAAAGCTTTAAAATTCTGAGGCAAATACTTTTATTCGGAACATTTTATCATTATAATAATCCAGAACATGCTGCTTTTAACTTTTTTAAACTACTGCAAAAACCAATTGAAAAATTAACTATTTAACATAAATATATTATGGAAAGTATTTTTTTAATATTAAATTACTTACTAAAATTAAATTTTTGTTTAATTAAAAAAAACAAAATTTCATTTGTATAAAAAACTAAAATATGTTAAACTTTTAATTATTTATTATTTCTTAAATTTGTAATTGCTGCTTTGTATCTTGCACATCAACAAAATGTATCATTCTTTATGTAAAAATATAAATTCGGATCTAAAAGGTATAGTTCACTGGTTAAATGCTAACCTAATTGAACCTGCCATTTTGAAAAGGTCCATTTATTAAATCTTAGTCCATTTATTAAATCTAAACAAGTCCATTTATTAAATCTTCAAAAAATTTTCAAAATCAACAAAAACATGACTTTTATTAAAATAATGTCTAAGCTGGTAAAGAAACTAAACAAAGAACTAGATAAATAAAGAATGTATATAACTTATGTAACTTTTATTTTTTTATAAAAAACATAAATCATACAGAAATTTTTAATTTAAATTTATAAACTAACTGTTCAAATTTTGTTTCAACACCAAAAAAATTGAACTAATTTTTTTTCATCTCTGAGAAAAAACTATTTCTTTAAAAATGTTGAAACCAAAATCAAAATTAATAATAAAAGACTACATCTTTGGAGAGTTATATAACATCTTGGTGTGTTAATTGACAGCAATCTTTCATGGAACTTTCACATCGATGAACTAAGCAAGAATCTTAAGCTAATGGTATGCTTTCAATGATTCATCATTATGTAAAAAAAGTTACACTTAAGAATATTTACTATGCATTATTTTCATCTCATCTTCAAGTTGGTAACTTTAACATTAACAAGTTACTATTGTCTGAACGCCAATCCATTAGATTAATAAACTTCCAACCAATTAAATCAGATACATCAGAGTCCTTCAAAAAAACTTAACACTCCAACATTTCCAGGATTAGTAGAGTATGCCAATCTTCTTTTTTTTTTTGACTCTTTAAACAAAAACTTACCATCTTCTATTACAAAATTGTTCACAGAAAGTAGACTAGTACATTCCTACTCTACGAGAAATATATATAATGGAAAACTAAATATACCACTTGTGAAAACCCAGAAGTATGGTAACTATTCTATTGTTTATCAGAGCATCTGCATATGGAACAGGAGTCTGTTCCATATGCAGATGAGTAGGATTTTGTTTATCTTGATAATGTAATTATTTTATAAGCTCATATATCAGTCATCTTTATTCATAGTTGATACCACATATTTTGACTACCGGTTTTTGGTAGAAAATTTTTGTTTTTAGCTAACTAAAGTAAATTTTCTTCCCGTCCTTATGCTTGTTATGGAGATCATAGTTGGAATAATTTCAAAAGTTGAAGTTTTTTATTCGAATATTGATACTTATGCTTCCTCTTAGTAGTTTAGCTTTTCTTTTAACAACACTCATGTTCCAAGAAATTAGACTTAAACCTAAATTGTTATGGTGGGGCACAGTGAATTGGGGTACAGTGAATAGATTGATTCACTATGTCCCATTAATGATCTTAAAGATTAAATTCATGCTTTTTTAACAAATAAACTATATGAAAATGAATTTAATAATTTTAAGTTATGAATAATAATACTTATAATACTTATAATAATAATAACTTTTAATTTTTTGATATTTTTATTAGTTTTGTTATCAATAAAATTCTTTTTTTTTCTTCTCACTTTTCAAAATGTCTATTTTTTCAATTTTATACTTATCTAATTAGTAAAGGTATGCCAAAAGTATAGAGTACAGTGTCTTTACTCCCTCAGCCTCCAAGTTATTTGGCTATGCCCCTATTCACTATCATTAATTCACGGCTGTGTTCATATACTCAATGTGCCCCAGTAATGGGGCACAGTGAATGTATGAATAACATAACACAACTAATACAGTGAATAATACAGTGAATAACATAACACAACTCACTTTAAACCTTTCGGTGAGCCATTAGATAATAAATGTTTGGATTTTAGTGATTTATTATCATGAAAGACATATCTCTTTTTTTTATTATCATAAAGGACACATCTCTTCTGCTTTGAAAAAAATAAAATACATATTTTAACTTTTGCTCAATTTAAAAAATAAAGAAATCTGATCCACTGTGCCCCAACTTCCCCTAAATAGCCCTTATATTGAACATATATGTCATTCAAACATCCACAACAAACTTTTTTACATAACTATCATTTAAAAGTTTGAATAGTTTTTATAACAATTAAAGTAATAATTAATATTACATTATAATTACTTCTTTTATTTTACCGCCTAAAAGATATCTTTTAACTATCTTAAATATTAAAAAATAATAAAAGGTTGTTTAACCAAAATAGCTTTTAGCAAACATGTACATAAATTGCAAGCTGTGTTACGCTTAAAACAAGGCCTAACAACTATATAAGACAATTAGATTCAAACTAGATTGCTCAGCACAATCTCAATTGGTTATGTCAAAAAAATGTATATGAATTGATTTTTAAATTTGATCATTCAATCAATCAATTGAAACTTACCTTTAATAAACAAAGCGACAACAGCAGTGCAGCCTCCTTCAATGCGATTATTTATTCTCTGATCTTTAATTTCCTCGTCTATAGATAAAAATGCATTTTCTAAGGCACCAATAATTAATTTTTCAGCATTGATAGTTGTTATAAGGCCTGTTGAAAGATATTGATTCAAAATCTCTTCATTTGATAACACAATTATGTGTGAAATTTGCGTCAATTCTTTTATAACATGTTTTTTAATATTGTGATAAGCAAATAATGCTGCCCCAGTTCCTAAAAACAATATTATAATACCTAATATAATGATGCCCCAGTTTACAAAAACAATATTATAATACCTGATATAATGCTGCCCCAGTTCCTAAAAACAATATTATAATACCTGATATAAGATTAAAGGATGATAAACAAGAATGTGGATTATGTGAAATAGTTCTAATGAACGTGTAACTCTTAATTTAATTGGACAATTCAATACACATTTTTTTAACAGTAATAAAAATCATGGAGCAATTTGAAAACACAATTGAATTTGAACAACCATTTAAAAAAGTGGTTAATTAATTTAAAAACATATCATTTAACGCTGGTTTACAACTAAAAAATTTGGCCTTCAAAATCATTAGATATGATCCAAACAAACTAACTTATCTAGAATTATTTAGATTGTTGCTAAATTTTTATTTTGAATCAATTTTAATGTTTTTTGAATCTTAAAAAAAAAATAGTTTTTGGTTGAAAAAGTTTTTAAAAAATGTTTTAAACTTCTAAAAATTCTTTAAAAACAAAAAAAAAAATTATGATCAAAATTTTTTCATTTTTTATTATTTCTTTGCATAGGCCTAAAAATTAAAAATGAACTTTTTTTTGATAATTTCAGTAGAAGCTATGTTTGAAAAACTCATGATATCTAGAATGAATACACACCTAACCCTAACCCTAACCTAATTTTAGAAGCAAAAGAAAGTAACAGTTCATTGCTGTTGATTGTGTTGACGTAATCAACTTGCTATTTACTTACCATTACTTACTATTATTACAGCATTAAAATATTCTTTGGAAGTTTTTAGTGCACAACTGTGAGTGATAACTAATATCTAATTAACATGTATGGGATACATAAGGGCTTTTTTTGGGGGGATAGGTCTAGGAGCTGTATGGGAAAGTAATAATAATGAAATTTCAAGGCAGACTTAAAAAGATATTCCTAAAATAAAGATAAGTTATCTGGGACTTGTATGGGAAACTAATATATCAATTAATCAATTAATCAATTAAAAGACTTATCAATTAATGGCACACTGATTACAGTGTGCCATTCATTGATAATTTAAGAAAATTAAACAGTATTTTAAGATTACACTACAATTTTCAATTTAATAATGAAAAAAAAAATAAAAACAATAACGGTCTAAAAACGAAACCGTGTGGAACCCCAACTTTAATACCTTTATGTGTGGATTCAAATCCATTAATTGAAAAAACCTGAGTGCGATGCCTAATATATGAAGAAAACCAATGATTAGCAATACCACGTATTCCATAGTAGTTTATGTTTTTTAGTAGAATGTTCAACCGTATCAAAATCAACAATTTAAGAAGTCAAAAATAACTGTTCAGTTATTTTTGATTTCTTAAATTGTTTCCCTAGTTTATTTAGTACAGTGCAATTTCTTTTTGGTTCAGTTTACTCTTTAGTCTTTTTCAGAACAATAATTTGGTTGCTAAGTTAGTGGTTTATAACTTAGTGATTTGTAAGTTACTTGGTTAGTAAGTTTTATTTGATAAAACAATTGAAAAGAGGTGAAGCATCTTTTAGTTCAATTTATTTTTTTTCATTTTTGTGTGTTATGCTCAAAATTGAAAGGATTAATGAAAATTTTTTCAGACAAGCAAACTAATTCTGATTTGAGTAAGTTTAATTTTATTTAAAGTTGGAATTCTACTTATGTATTTATATGAAAAACTAAAATAAATGTTAGACAAAAATAAGATTATGTTATTTGTTGACATAAGTAAGTGATAAATATAAATATGTGTATATTTCAGTACATTTTATATTTCTCTATATATGTATATTTTCTCATTCTTTTTAGAAAAAATAGCAAGAAATAGAAAAAATAAAAGAATTCTGATGCATGTAATCAAAATGATTGTTTTTTTCATTTTTTTTTTGTTAAAAGTGTTATGTTTCTTTTTAAAGGTATTTGAATATACGCATATACAATAGGGTGTGTTATACTTTTTTTTTTCTAAATTAAAAACCCTGTATTCTAAAAAAATTGCATTTATATATAATTTTACTAAAAAAAAGCTTAGATTTAAAAATCCGAAATGATTTAGCTACCGGGAATCGATATTTAGTATTTAATTTGGCTTAAATTGGCGGAAAATTTCTTACTAGAAAAGCAAATTTTTGCTTGTGGTTGTATATTTTTGTACTTAATGTAAACATTGTTCATTAGTGATTTTATCGGATAACTTCTTTTGTTTCTATTGTTTCTTTCTTGCAAAAACAGGCCATATCTAAGAAGATATCTTAGTGTTGGTAACTCCGATACAAGAATATCTGTTCCAGAACCTATATATTCCGAAAGCTTTGATCTGCTTCTTTTTCTAGTTCTTGAAGATATTGACTCTGCCATGATTAAATAGCAAAGTTCATAATTTGCAAACTTTTTACATAAATTTTTTAATTTTTAAAAGTTTTTATAATATTTTTTAACATTTAACATACAAATTATATGTTCAACAATTTATAAATTGGCAAATTTATATAGTTTTGATATCAAATAGAATTCAATGTGAGTGGTTGTAAACAATTACTTGTATATAAAAATAAAAAAAATTATTGTGTATAAAAATGCGTGGACGCAAAACAATATCTGTGGTTAGGGTCAAAGCTAATTACAACAAATTGACCATAAATATGTAATTTTAAAACACACTTCCCAGTAGCTTAACATAAAGTATTTTTAGTTTTTTTTTGGTTTTAATGTTAAAATAGTTGTACACAGGTTTTCTATATACCGGGTTTGTAGAAAAACTTTTTTTTCAAAAATTCATAAAGTATGAATTAGGGTTGGCATTCGGCAATGCTGACCTAATTGCCGATCTAAAAGTGTTTGAGGTAAGGAAAAAATTGCAGACTTTATTTCTATGTTTTATGGTAGGACCTTTGTAACCAATTCTTTTTTGCCGACCTATTGCCGACATCTTAAAGATTGAGGTCGACAAATTATTGCCAAACTCATTGTATTGTATTAAAGAGGTTGACATTGACAGGTAATTGAGGTCAACAAATTATTGCTAAACTCATTGTATTGTATTTGTTACTATGATAATGATCTTGTTTTTTTTAACTAAGACATCTTGGAACTAAAGTTCCAAAATTGTGCTATAACTAGTACCTAAATATTAATACTAGAAGTTGGTATTATTAACATTTATTACTATTTATTATTTATTACTATTAGTACTAAAATTAATTAAGTTTTTTTTTTAAGTTAACCATTTTTGATAGTTAGCTTATCAGCATCATTAACTAAAGAAGATAGGTGTTATTTTTTATACTTAAATTGAAATACAACTTTATGCCTATCTACTTTTTATCATACTCTTCATTTCAAAATTACTATCAAATATTTTATTCTACTGTTGTCAATGTTAAAAAAACTGGAATTCTACATAGAGATAAAGATAATTTTATTTACTAGTAACAATACAAAACCATATGCTAAAAGCTGTTAAGCCTCAATAGAATTTTAATTTTATTAGCAATAATCATTTTCAATAATTATTGTTAACAACATTGAAATTATATGACTACATTATGATCAAATTACTTACTAATTATTATGTTAATTTTCATATAAATAATTATCATGAATGTCATCATGGCCATATCAAGCCTTGTTTTAAATTTACGTAGGCCTTAAGTAATTTTTACATAAGTAGTAAGCAATTTTGTATAAGCGACTTTTTATCATTTTAAATTATACTATAAGCGGTAAGATAAAAGAAGTAATTTAAAAAAAAAATTACTTAAACTTTTAAATGACGTTTATGTAAAAATATTTCTTGCAAAAAATTAAATGACAATTATGTTTGATAAGTCCTATTTAAGTAAAAAAAATGTTCATTAGTAAATATTTATTAATAAAAAAAACTCAAATAAAATTAAAAGTTTAATTTACTTAATTTTTAAGTTTGAAGCAAAGATCATAAAAACATAGTTTAATTCTGTTAAAAAATATGTTTTAATTTAAAACTAATTTAATAAAAATATATAATTTTATTCTGATAAAAAAAAATATATAGTTTAATTTAGATTTAAAAAATATATAACTTAATTTTGAATTAAGAAATTTATTAAAATTAAAGCTAATGCTTGGGTTTAACTTAACTGTCAAATTATTTTAAAATATTACTAAATATTGTTAAATTTTTAAAATTTATTTGTTTATAAATAAAAATCAGCTTACTTTTATCGTAATCATTTTTTTGTTTTTTTTTTCCTAAACATTTTTTTTATACTCAAAATTGAATTTTAAATAAATGGCTGTGTCAAAAGTTTACACAAAACAAAAGTTTTTTTTTATAACGCAAGTTAAATCGCAACAATTATATTTTAATAAATGATATATTCAGCAATGTAATTTTAATAATAAACTAATAAACTTTAAATAAATAAAGTAATTTTTTTATTTGTTACTCACTAATTTTTTTTTAATAAAAAATCATTTGCAGTTGCAAAGTTGCAATTAGAAGTTTAAGAAATAATCATTTTAAAAACTCAAAAATTTAACAATATTTTTATTCATTTATGCAAATGTCAAAAAAAATTTGCTAATATCAAACATTTTAAAAAAATACAATATTAAATTTAATTATTTAATATTAAAAATAAATAAAAGAATATAAGCATTCCTTTATAGTAATAATAAAAAAACCGTTAAATAATATTTAACTTGTTTTGCTGTAATTAATATTATTGCAATAATTTGAAAAGGTTAATAGGCTGGGTGAATAAAAATGAGCAATTGCTATTACTCAACAATTGGTCAGCTTTACGTGAATAAAAACTTCAGCAATTTTGGCAAGTTTTTTATTCACATAAAGCTGACCAATTACTGAGTAAAAGCAATTGCTCATTTTTATTCACCTGGCCTGTCTTTAAAAAATAAAAAAATAAAGACAATTTTATGACGTCAAATATTGCGTTAAGCTAATGCATTAACCATTTTTTATTTAAAACAAGGCCTGGCATATGT